TCATAAGCCTTGGGTCCAGCCAGGGTATCATTTTCAGGCACTTTCCAAAGCTGTCACTAATCGAGTCATTATCATTGGGGTAACCTCATATCTTATTAATCATTAAATGCAAATTGGAATGCCAATTTATTCTTTAAATTAGAATATTTAAACGGTATTGTGCTAAGAAATATCACGCTAAGATATGCTGTTTTTGCTTACAGTAGCAAACATACCCGTAAACAGAAATTATACCATTACGATACAAATATAAGCCATAATAGAATATATATTTACAGGTGCTTATAGAGAGGAAGGCTTTGGAGAAGTATTCTGTAGAGTTATTCAATTGATTTATCATGCATTTTATAAACATAGATAACATCACTAAGGGAAAAAATCTCTTTTCATGTCAATCTACTCAAGATTGAAATATTCGATCTTCCAAAATTAATTCATCACCTCAAGCCTTTGAGACAAGCCTGAATCTATAGACAGCGCCATACTTCACATTTTACAGTTTGGCCGTAATAAGAAAAATATCTCCTTAAATTATTTCTATTTTGTTCTTTAAAGTAATTAGTGGCAACTAACCTCAGTGACACCATCGCACCAAACCTCTTGGCTTTAAACCCTCACCTCTGCTAGTTGACCTCTGCTAGCAGACTCAATTCGCAGTATTAATATTTGCGGTCATAGCTGTCTCGCTTTCAGTAAGACGAGTACAAAATGAAGCGTCTAGTCAAGAGCACCGGTATGGCCTGCTATTGCATTTTACCCCTGATTTTACCATTAATACTACTACTATTACTACTACTACTACTACTACTACTATGGCGCAAACGTAACAGTTTTGTAGTGATAGTGGAAAGGCTTAGTCTCAATAACAGGTGTAGAGAGAAAGAGAGCTAGGAGTAGAAATAGTGAATATGCATTGATGCCTGCAGTGTTACATACATTATGTCTGCAGCTACAACAAATCTTTGGTCGTCTCGCTCAGACAGTAATGACAGCTGGAAGACATGGTAAAATCCAGAGGGATACTCTGCTGGATATGTACACTAAATGTTCATTGCTCGAAGGTCGTTACCAATGTTGAATTTCTATATTTTTATTCCCGTTTTTAGTGTCTAAAGGTTGACAAGAGCGAAAGTGGAGTTTGATAAATATAGAATTTTGTAAAATGATAAAAAGTTGATAAAATAGAATAACAGAATAAAACAGAATAACAGAATAAAACCTAATGTTCTCCAAAAAGCGAAATCCTAGATTTCGTTTCCTGTTAATATTAATACTTGAACTAAGAACTTGTTTTATGCCAAGTACAAAAAAAAAAGAAAAAAAAAGAAGAAAACTTTTGTCTATATCTCTGAGATGAGGCATTATGATTACTTGCATTATTTATATTATTCGGACTGTTATCCTCGTCTTCATTGCCATCTACACAACGTTTCGGCCTGTATATCTCTGAAATAAGGCATTATGATTACTTGCATTATTTATATTATTCGGACTGTTATCCTCGTCTTCATTGCCATCTACACAACGTTTCGGCCTCTATATCTCTGAGATGAGGCATTATGATTACTTGCATTATTTACATTATTCTAACTGTTATCCTCGTCTTTATTGCTATATTTACAAGGTTTCGGCCTCTATATCTCTGAGATGAGGCATTATGATTACTTGCATTATTTACATTATTCGGACTGTTATCCTCGTCTTTATTGCCATATACACAACGTTTCGGCCTCTATATCTCTGAGATGAGGCATTATGATTACTTGCATTATTTACATTATTCTGACTGCTATCCTCATCTTCATTGCCATATTCACAACGTAAATAATGCAAGTAAAAAGAATATTGTATGAATATACCTTTCATCTTTTGTTGTATATATTTGCACACCAATATAATGTAAAGGGCGTGAGCGCAGTGTAACGGTTACTGTACGAAAAATGGGATTGGCAACTAGAGTTCTAATTCCGACTAACGATGTTGCGTTCGCTTTTTCTCAAATACTCTTGAAAAACTATGAAAGATATGAATCCATTTTGGTCACTAAAGTTAGGAGACAATAACAGGAGAGATTGGGCTTTTTAGTTTTTGATAAGCAACACATCTAGAAGAAGACATCTTTGAATTCCAAGACAATTGTGAGTGGGGCTAGCAACACCACCCCATAAAAATCTATTTGTTACAGCAACCAAAGCAGTAGAGCCTATCATGGTGAGACTGTGGCTCTGTACTTCAGAAGAGGTAAAGAATGAAATGTTAACAACTTTTCACTATGTCAATTCACACACACGAGTATTTGTTTTATGCATTTGCGTATCTCTCCCCATATTTGCTGAATTTAACTTACTATCGAAGATGACCAAATGGCAGATTAGGCCATGCGTGTAGTGAAAATGATCAGCGTAGTAAGTGAAGTCGCCGAGCCGAGTTCAAAGTCTGCTGTATTCACTTTGACATAAGTGCGCTTGAAAAACGCATGAATCTATCTCTTCACTTTAACCTATCATATAAATAGCAGATAGATAGATAGATAGATAGATAGATAGATAGATACCTGCTTACTAAACTTAACTTTTGGGTTTTCTTCCACCGGTTAGGAATCGCACAGAGTTCCATGACAATTAGTCGACTGTGATATCAGAATTAAAATCAATGTGTCCTGGGTTTGCTGATATAATAGAATACAAAATATATCGTTCTTAGAATTAGTACATAAGATTGCATAACTTACGAACTACTACGTTACTGTAGGCTCATGACTATTTACTAAGTGCAGCTGAGATTGATACAAAACTACAATAGTAGAGCGTACAATCGAACTCAGGAACTAACCAATTGGGTTGCAAGACGAGTATATTGATACCATACAATGAGTGTCCTGATAGATAGATAGATAGATAGATAGATAGATAGATACGAACAGATTTACATAGATATGAACAGATTTAGATAGATAGATAGATAGATAGATAGATAGATAGATATGAACAGATTTAGATAGATAGATAGATAGATAGATATGGACAGATTTAGATAGATAGATAGATAGATAGATAGATATGGGAATCTGAGAAAGATTTAGATAGATAAATTGACAGACATAAACATAGATATTAACGTATTCTAGGAGTAGGATCTCTGACTGATGTCAAAACAGTCGGGTTTCGTTCCCGGCTTGAAGCAATCGGACGTCTAACCACACTGAAGAGATGGGATACAGCGAAACAGTCTGTCTGTGGATGACCTTAACAGTCATTTACAATATTAAAAGATTACTATTAGTAAACTTTTATATTTTAAATCTTATTCTTCTTTTTTCTTTTTTTCTTTTCTTTTTTTTTTTGTTAATGTGTTTTTAAATATAGTATTCAACTCATATTAAATCCCTAATTTATTTGTAGAGGAGTTGAATATTTAAATTGCTAACAAGCATTAAATTAATTTCTTCGTGGATTTTTTTAAACATTTAAATTACTATCAAACGTTAAAATCTGTTTTTTACCTAAATTGCTAAAACTATACCACCCCTCTTCTTCCTCCGAAAACCCTAATTACATTTCCTTTCTCTTTACTTTCCCTTTTTTTCTTTTTCTCTTTTCTCTCCTTCCCTTTCAACATATCATTTCCGTTGAGTTGACCGATTAAATAGGTCAATGTCTGATCCTTAACCACTTCTTCCTCAATATTTAGTATGATAGAAAGAAATATAAAAATAAACCCTCTCTAATCTCGACTATGTCTCTCACACCACTCCTCGCTACCCTCTCTGTTAAATTACATAAACTTCATACTACCCGTTAGAAGTGTAAATTTTCATTTCATTTTTCGTTTCACCTTTTGAAAGTGATGTCTGAAGATCCAGGATACTTTAAAAGGTCTCTGGTGAAATAAACTATTACAATGCAGCCTTAAACTTGTCTGTTTTTCTTTAAATTATTAGCTCTGAATTTACATTGATCTCTCAGGATTTTATCCTCCTTGGGACTACCCATACGGATTACCAAGTTTTTCGTTACTTTTATATATATATATATATATATATATATATATATATATATATGTGTGTGTGTGTGTGTGTGTGTGTGTGTGTGTGTGTGTGTGTGTGTGTGTGTCTTACCAGTTTGTGACTGGAAAGATAATTCCGAGGAGGATATGAATCAGGGAGAGCCCAATGTAAACTACAGAACATTATAATGATTAATGATGATAAGAAGACGGTGACTTTAATTATCCATTTCGTTTATAATTTTTATTTCATGAACACCGAGATGTTCAAGTAATCAGAAAGAAACCTCCTCTGCAAATGGAGAAAGTACACCGGACGAGCACATTACATTGGTAATTGGTAGTGCAGGTGACAGAGAACCGTTGGGTAAAGATAGGGCTAAGAGATTAGTGGTTAGTAGTAGTCGGTTTCCTCAAACAAGAATTTACTCTATACTTTTTAAATTTTAATATTGGGCTGTATGTTACACTGCCCGATACCGTTTGCTGTTTTTATGCGGGATGAATCAGGTCGATTCAAATTAATTTATTTAAAGGGATATTAATCTAAATATAGCTCGGCATTATTATACTAAGAGTTAAATATTTGTTTTTTAGGCCGCCGTCTGATAGTGGAGAGATTGAGTTGAGGGAAACGCAAGAATGAGATATAGAAGGACTGGAAGGCTTGGGGGAAAAGTGGATGAGAAGGAAAAGGCAGGATAATGGTATCTTTAGCAAACCAACATACATTATTTACTGTATGTTGGTCTAGCTGCGTAGATATTTCTTCATTTTTAGAACTATGTAAATGTGTTTATATAGTGGGTTGATTGCTATGAAGTGATCCCTAGTACAAATAATAATTAGAAATCACATTAATATTGCCAGATACAATAGGTGGATACAGCAAATAATTTTAGAGAATTAAGAGGTGAATAGACATTAAAAAATACCAAACTTAAGTTATGGATTATGGAAATGTTATAAAATGTGTTTAGTTTGGAAACATTGGTAAGGTGTACCTCGGAAAGACAGTCTTAGGTCCAATCATGTGTTTAGAAGTTCGCAAAAAGTAACCAGCTCGTGTAATACTTAATATCACGTACGCACCTACACACATACACATACGTATCTAAATCTACATAACCACACATGAGTGGAAACCCATATGTGCTACTATCCTTATCAACGAACCACCACTTCCCGTGTCATACACCCAAAATTCATTCGGTAAGCGTTTTTACGGGATTTTAAGTCTGTCGTTATGCCTCCACCTAAAGATAAGCTCGTTTCGTTGATTTAATAATTGGTTAGCATTTGTGTACTTGATTATTGCGACTTTTCCTATATGCACAGATCGCATCTGTCCCGGAAGTTGCTGGAGGTGCTGGACCGATAGATGATTTCCCATATATATATATATATATATATATATATATATATATATAAACTGATTTAAAATATGGTTTCTTCACTACACAGTAATAACCATGTTTCAATATATATATATAAATATATATATATATATATATATATATATATATGTATACTTTGTAGAAATATCTTTAATAATATTATAGAAACGTATTCATTCAAACATGTTTCAAATGTTTACCTAAGTTTTGAGGTAATTCGCCAGATTAAAGGTTGGTTTTATTTCTAATGTGATATCAAATATTATTATTATAATGTGATATTATAATGTTGGTATCAAACCTTTCATTTTCTTACCTGAGCATACGGTACTGAGACTCACCAACTTGGCGCCCACACATAGGCTCCTCCCCACAGGTGTATTGGTGTTTTTTTTTAACTGGTGACACTGTTGTAGCATACCTACGAACGATAATGGGTATGTCGCCATTCACATAAATATAGTAGTAAATACTGAATGTTGGTCTGCAGTTGGAGATTCATCTCCAGGCATGCTTGTCAAACTCTCGTCTCGGGAAACAGCTACCCCGCCCCGTTTTATACGAGTTATACGGGGAATTTTTGGCCGAGCATACAAGCTCGGATACCCAACATTAAATTCGACCTTGTGCCAGATCTGATCGCGTGGGGCGGTTGGTAGATATCCTGAAGTTGGAGATTTATTGTGGATTTTATTTGACTCATTTCTAGCAGTTGGCTAATTCTTCTACGCGCCGCTGGCGAATCTTATACGTTCTAAGTATTATCGTTCATTACCAACCTTAACGTGATTATTCTATTCAGTAACCTTCCCCTACAACAACACAACACACACACACACACACACATATATATATATATATATATATATATATATATATATAAATATATATTCTGAAAATAGAACACACATATATATATGTATATATATGAAGAAAGTAGAATACCTTTACCTTAAAAATGTCATGTGGGTGTTATATATATATATATATATATATATATATATATATATATATATATATATAACACCCACATGACATTTTAAGGTAAAGGTATTCTATTTTCAGAATTACATATCTTCGGGTTTCTGTTGACATTTATATATGGAAGGATTTCCTGCTTTTGTCGACCAAGAAATTTTCTTTTCTTATGAATATACCTATATGCTCACCTATTTACCCTGTAACTTCCATCAATGTTTTACTATTTAAATCAATTTGTTGGGGAAATTATTCTTATTACCTACTTGTTATTAAAACAATTCGAAGACTTAAAGACAATTCCCTAAACTACATTGAGACAACGTCAAGAAGTTATTCTGCCTGAAAGTCACGACTAATATCACTGTAGTTCCCTCTTCTCCTACAATTGTAGTAGAACTTGGGAAGCAGAATAGAATAGAGACAAAGAGAAGTCATGCGAGTCTCCATCCATTCAGTAACTAAAACCAAATCACTTTTTTTGTGTGAAAACAACTTTATAACAAGCAAGAAAAAAAGATAAATAAATTTATATAGGTGATGTGTTCATAAAGTGTCCCTACCTGAACGAACAGTTGGAGTTTCTTTCCAGGACAATCCTGTCTGTGGAAGGTGCATCTCTATTCGTCGACATGATGCCAGTTTCACTTCCTCTCTTTTACTCCCAAACTCACATGAAGTGGTACCTAAAACACGCCGGAGACAGCAGTCGGGCAAACCGAAAACTTAATTTCAACCAAACATGTCACACACACAAATACACACATAAAATATAAACACAACAAATATAAACACAACAACTCATCTCACAAATATTTTCTCTCCTTTTTCTTGAACTTTGTTGTACTGTAAAATATATATGTTGTGAACAAGTAATTGGTTAAGGAATAACAAAACAAGAGTTTGCAGTTAAATAGTGTATTGAACAGTAAATACAACAGAAGAATGTTACATGACTTGGGAATGTGTGTCGGTTGACCAGCATTCAGTTTATATCATCGTTATCCCGATGCTTACTTTTCCTACTAACTTTATAGTAAGTGGAAGAGTCCACAATAGACTCATTAGAGGGAGCACACCACAACAATATATATAGAAAATCCACTACGTGATGAATTAATTTATTTTTAAAATTCTTATCCCACCATTCTCAAATAATTATCAACCAATTTCTATCTTACATACTTATCAAACTGTGCAAACATGTCTTTGATAATAACCTCAAAACACTGTAAATCCTCTGAAATTGAATACAAAGAGAACTAAAAGGTGGAAAAATTGGTATGAATATCAAAAGTTGCTATGAATGTAACTCGTGTATGAATTAATTCATAGTCCAACATTAATCTGAACCTTTTTAATGAATCCCCTTTGTCATGGCGCCGAATCGTGGGTCATCTATCGCAATGTCTACGTCTGCTTGAACTTTGCCATAAACACTGCCTTTCAAGTGTGCATTGGAACGACTTCATTACTAACTTAAAATTTCTCAAACTTTTCACAGGCACACGTCTGAGGGCCATTCTTTACATGTTGCATCTACACTCTACCGGTTATGTGTCGGGTATGAAAAACTAACGCCTATTATGAGTATTACTGTTTCGTGAACTATTGATGAAACAAAGGAGCCTCATGGAATCAATGTAAAAATTCTTTACCACCTGGTTGGTAAAACATGCACCTTTAA